AGAGAGAGAGAGAGAGAGAGAGAGAGAGAGAGAAAGAGTGAGAGTGAGAGAAGTGGGGGAGTATCACCTATTGTCTTAAAATATATTTCTCCATTTTCTCACTGTTAAAGGTACCGTCAGCTGCCACGCATCATACTGTAAAGAATGTATACTCACAAACTTCTGACACACTTCAAACAAAGAACGTAACCACGGTCACAGCGTTCCAAAGGTAACCTTTTTATACTATTTAGAGAAGACACAAAACTCAGTCAGAAAATGCTTCCACAGACACAAATAGAACAAATTCTTTAGTAAACCTTCTCCTCCCATCCCCTCTTCCCTACCGAAAGTACTCTGTTTCAGCCGTGGTAAGAATTAACTGTGGCACTCAAAGCCAGCAGCCATGTGGGATCTACCTCGAAACAATTGTTTTTAGATCAGTGTACATTGTGATTACTGAAGTCAGCAGTGTGGATTTAAGGTATAGTGCGGAACAGTACGGTATACTACGTACGATATGGTACGATTTGATGGTGTAGTGTGAGATACGGTTTAATTCGAAAAGGTATGGTGCGGTATGGTAGGGCACGATTTGGAAATAATTATACAGTGTGGTATAGGAAGGCAATACTTAGTGCCATAAATATGATATGGTATGTGCTTTTGGCATGAATTAATGTATTGTACGGTACAGAGCGGTATGATAAAGGATTGTCATGGTATATACAGGTACTACACTAAGGTCGGGTCGAGTATGGCAGGACAAGGTAAGATCGGGTTGGGTAGGGAGGGTACCATAGATAGTTTATGCTGTTGATAAATCGAGTGATCAAGCGGTGGTCCCTGATATTTATATAGCCCAACTGCACCAAGACATGACAATATTCCTCAACCAGCCCATGTGCTCTTATGACCTTGTGCAGTTGCCAGCGCCGTAAAACGCCTACCAAAAATAAAAACCACAAAAAACCAACAAACAAACAAACCAACCCGTGTTCAAGAGTAGTTGCGGTTTTCAGCCACGGTCGATATACGCCCTCATCACGAAGTAAACTAACAGTTCATCCAGATATGGCTGTTGGTTTTAATCAAGGTGTACAGTATTAAGGAAGTGCTACAGAGAAAAAGCAAGAGAAAGCAAGGGTACCAAAAAATAGAAATGAAAGAGTGAAGCATATATAAACATAAAGCTTGGGGAAGATGATGGAGGGTGGAGAGAAACAGAGAAAGAGACAACAAAGGGTGGGGGGGGGGAGAAGGACAGGGAGAGAGGGAGAACGAGGAGTACGACGATGAGGGTGAAGAAGACGAAGAGGAGGAGGAGGAAGGGAGGAGAAGGAAAAAAGAAGAGGATGAGGAAGAGAATGGAGATGTGGTGGAAAACGAGCAGGAAACAGGTGAAGAACCGACACGATATGCGCACGTTATGGGTAAATAGCCCCAGGTACAGGTGCCGCAGAGCTCTGGAGCGCAGGCATTTTACTCGCCATGTGCGAACCTTAACCCTTCCTCTTTCGCTTTATACAACCCAGAGCCAAAATAAACCCAAGAGGAATTTTTCATCTTCCGCTGCCCCGACTGGTGATGATTATGCTTTGGGTATTGTTGTTACGGTACTAATATTGCTAGGGATGGTACTTGCTAATAACGGTGTTGATGCCCTGATGTGATTCTCGTCGCTGCTGCTGTTTTTATGTTTGTTGTGGTTATTGTAAGAGTCAACGCCCTTATTGTTTTATTGATTAAAGTAGTTTTGTAAGTCGCGTTTCTAGGAGGAAGGGACAGGGGTTTTGGGTGGGCGTCGGGGGTTGGATAGTGGGTGTTACAGGTTGATTATTTTAATAAAATACCGACAAGTTCATACAGATCATTGTCGCAGTAGTTGTTATCTTCGTCACTTATAAACAAAAGCTTACGTTAACTATATGTGCACAAACCTTTATATTATGTTTTCAAACGATCCACATCACCGCCCCGCAGTTGCAGTGAGCTAATCTCAAAATAACACCTTGTCTCCCAAGGCAGGAATAATGTTAACAAAACTGATAATTTGATAACAGTCACATAATGATTGAACGCATGGGTCACGGTGACAAACACAATTTTTAACCAAGCTTTAACTATTTGTCGTGCTCTGTGGAAGCAAGTTTACGCAAGAGAAAGGATGAGAATTATTCCATAATGGGAAAAAGTAGGATGACCCAGTTACAGTACCAGCGCAATAAAGTCAAGCACCAGCGTCTTGACAAGAAGCGTTTTTAATGTACTTTGAAGGATCTCTGCGAGGTTTTTGTAGTTCTGTGATAGACTAATAATAATAGCAATCGACTTAGATTAGTACAAATAATGAAACGTCGTGAGAATAAGTGTTAAGTGTGAAGAGGTGTGTTTTAATGGGATTGGTAGCCGCTCGGGGAAATAAATTCCATTTAAGAAGAGTGAAGATGAAGAATAGAAGAATTTAACTAGAGATTGGAGAGACGTAGGTTGAAAAAAAAACCCAGATGTGGGGGATTATGAGGAGGCCTGAGCATCAAGGCATAACAGTGGCCTAGTGAACGGGAGGACGACGAGAAGGTTAAGAAGGGAAAAGCCGGCCGGGAGCTTTAGCAAGGTGTGTGCGAATGTGTGAGTGTGTATGAGAGAAAGTGCGCACACGCGTGAGCGGGAAGCGGGGGTGAGTAAGGTGGGGATACCCGAGACAGCGGACCAGGTAGATACACTCATCCAGGTGTGGTTGCCATAGGAACTCAACAACTAGTCCTACCTCACCACGGCTCATGAGTCGTGAACACTTTTCATCTTCTTCTTCTTCTTCTTCTTCTTTTTCTTTTTCTTCTTCTTCTTCTTCTTCTTCTTCTTCTTCTTCTTCTT